GAGTAGCTGGGATTACAGGCACGCACCACCATGCCCAGCTAATTTTTTGTATTTTTAGTAGAGACAGGGTTTCACCATGTTGACCAGGATGGTCTTGATGTCTTGACCTCGTGATCCACCCGCCTCGGCCTCCCAAAGTGCTGGGATTACAGGCTTGAGCCACCATGCCCGGCCCAATAATGCACTTCTAAATAGAGTTGTCTCTCAGTATATGTGGGGAACTAGTTTCAGGACCCCCACATGTACCAAAATCCATACACATACTCAAGTCCCACAGTCAGCCCCATAGAACCTTATTATTATTATTATTATTATTATTTTGAGATGGAGTTTCACTCTTGTTGCCCAGGCTGGAGTGCAATGGCATGATCTCGGCTCACTGCAACCTCTGTCTTCCAGGTTCAAGCAGTTATCCTGCCTCAGCCTCCCAACTAGCTGGGATTATAGGCATGCATCACCACGCCTGGCTAATTTTTTGTATTTTTGGTAGAGATGGGATTTCACCATGTTGGCCAGGCTGGTTTCAAACTCCTGAGGTGATCCACCCACCTTGGTCTCCCAAAGTGCTGGGATTACAGGCGTGAGCCACCGCGCCTGGCCAGCCCTGCAGAACCTTATGCAACAAATTAATTGGCCCTCTGTAAACATTGGTAGGTTTTGCTTGTTTTTAAGTATGAGGGGAATTTCTTACCTCAGCATGTTTAAATATTCTCCATTTCTTTTGAATAGCTTATAGTATCCCTTTGCCTTTACAATTTATGGATGTCCAGGAGTCTTTCTTCTGAAACTATGATTTCCCTTCCTATGTTGAATTTTTTTAAAAGCCTCTTTTATTTCAGAGAATTTTAAACTATTTTCTGTGATTGTGATAATTAGTTTAAGTGTAGCAAAATCCTTTTCATTATTATTGAACCATAGTAGCTATGCTTCTTTAATGAAGAGAAATACGTATTTCTTTATTTCTTTTATAGATAGAAACTGGTTGAGTAATTTATGAACATACCATTTTGTTGATGTTTTGAGTATATGAATGTGTATTATAAGAACAGTCCTTATAACATATATTTTGCTCCTTTTTTCCTACTCTTTAGAATAAGGATATTCAGCCTATAAAATTTCTAATCAAACACCAACAAGAAGTGAAGATTTATTTTCCCATCATTCTTACACCCAAATTTCTGGCATTTCCTTATCATCCTATGGGAATGTTATATCATTATAAAGTACAGGTATGGTGTCCTAGAAGGCTTCACAAAGAGATAAGCTGGTTTCTCTGATAGATTAATTTATTGAAAATTTATTAATGTCAGGTTTATTTCCTCCCAATCCTAAGAGTATAACTTGGGTTTTGGTGACAATCAAAATTATACTCTTGAATAATGTCATCTATAACAAGACTTGGTTACAGTGCTTTCTGTCTCTCTTCCCAATATCTTTTCCTGGTGAATTTTATAAAATTCTGTTGTGTCTTTTTTTGATATTTTGTGAAACTACGATTACTTTGCCTCTCTTTAGTATTTCTCTTGCCCATTAAGCTGCTTTACTATAGTGTCACAGTTCCCTTTTTTTTTCCCCCCTGAGATGGAGTTTTGCTCTTGTTGCCCAGGCTGGAGTGTAATGGTACAATCCCGGCTCACTGCAACCTCCAACACCCAGGTTCAAACGATTCTCCTGCTTCAGCCTCCAGAGCAGCTGGGATTACAGGCACGAGCCACCATGCCCAGCTAATTTTTGTATTTTTAGTAGAGATGGGGTTTCAACATGTTGGCCAGGCTGGTCTCGAACTCCTGACCTCAGGTAATATGCCCGCCTCAGCCTCCTAAAGTGCTGGGATTACAGGCGTAAGCCACCGCACCCAGCCTAGTGTCAGAGTTTCTAATGTGGCCAAAAATAATTTATTAAATTATGTTATTATTTTGTAAACTTTATTTCACCAGTCAAGTTTTACATTTTCACTTAAATTTCGTTTTCTTCCTATTGTAATTAAATGTAATGTACATTTTCACAGGTAGAGGGTGGCAGTGGCAACTTTACCTGGACTTCTTCTAATGAAACAGTGGTCATGGTAACCATGAAAGGAGTGGTGACTGCAGGTCAGGTCAGGGGGAACAGTACTGTTTTGGCCCGAGATGTACAAAATCCCTTTCGATATGGAGAAATTAAGGTAAACAGCTCTCCAAAGGTTCTTATTACCGCTACAACACTACTGTCTAAATTTAAGTACATTAATACATTTTTAAAAATACCTAGTCCAACTTGACTATTTAAAAATATTACTCACATTCAGTCTAGAAATACTTTTTTTTTTGAAAGGAAATCTTGGTCTTGTGGCCCAGGCTGGAGTGCAATGGCACAATCTCGGCTGACTACAACCTCCACCTCCCATGTTCAAGAGATTCTCCTGCCTCAGCCTCCTGAGTAGATGGGATTACAGACACCTGCCATCACACCCGGCTAATCTTTGTAGTTTTAGTAGAGACAGGGTTTTGTCATGTTGGCCAGGCTGCTCTCAAACTCCTGACCTCGTGATCCGCCGGCCTCAGCCTCCCAAAGTGCTGGGATTATAGGCATGAGCCACTATACCTGGCCAGAAATACATATTTTAAAAATATTTCTGTAACTAGATTGACTCTTGCTTCACTTAATAGTCACTTATTTAACATCTATGTTTGTTTCCTCATAGGATGATGTTAGTATCTACCTCAAAGGTTATTATTAGAATGTTTTTAACTGGAAAATTTTGGAAATAAGACGATGAAATGCATTCTGTATTTGTTATACTAATTGTAAAAACACATGCAAAACTGAAAACAGTAATAGGTAACATTTTGAGCACTTTTGCAGTGCTGTATGTGTTCAGAGAAACTTCCCTTGTAATGAACTGTAGAAATGGTAACTGAAAGTGTAGTCTTTGTTATCAGGATTAAATGAGTTAGGGTTTACCCCAGTGCTTAGCATATATTTACTATTTAATTAATGTTGGCCAGGTGTGGTGGCTCACGCCTGTAATCCCAGGACTTTGGGAGGCCAAGGTGGGTGGATCACAACGTCAAGAGATGGAGACCATCCTGGCGAACACAGTGAAACCCCAACTCTACTAAAAATATGAAAATTAGCTGGCCATGGTGGCACACACCTGTAGTTCCAGCTACTCGGGAGACTGAGGCAGGAGAATCACTTGATCCGGAGAGGAGGAGGTTGCAGTGAGCTGAGATTGTGCCACTGCACTCCAGCCTGGGTGACAGAGCGAGACTCCATCTCGAAAGAATGAATGAATAAAAAATAAATGAAATATTTAATTAATGTTAACTTTTTTGTTATATACATATGATTTTTAAATGGCCTTTATAGTAACTTTATCTCTAGTGTCAAATTTTGGTTTGTCAATCTGTTTCTAAAAGATTGAAAATTTTTTAGTATATTGTACAATAATTTTTCTATTTTTTTCCTTTTTTTTTTTCAATTTTGAGACTGAGTTTTGCTCTGTTGCCCAGGCTGGAGAGCAACGGCATGATCATAGCTCACTGTAGGCTCACACTCCGATAGTCAAGCAGTCCTCCCACCTTGGCCTCTCAAGTAGCCAGGACTACAGACACATACCACCCACATACTTAATTTACTATTTTTATAGAGACAGGGCCTTACTATGTTGCCCAGGCTGGTCTCAAACTCCTGGCCTCAAGTGATCCTCCTGCCTTGGCCTTCCAAAGTGCAAGGATTACAGCTGTGAGCCACTGTACTCAGCTCCATTTTTTAAAATTTTAAAATTTTTAGATGAAGTCTCTCTCTGTCACCCAGGCTGGAGTGCAGTGACATGATCTCAGTTCACTGCAACATCCGTCTTTCAGGTTCAAGCAATTCTACTTCAGCCTCCTGAGTAGCTGGGACTATAGGTACATGCCACTGTTCCTGGCTTATTTTTTGTATTTTTAGTAGAGATGGGATTTCACCATTTTGGCCAGGCTGATCTCAAACTCCTGACTTCAAGTGACCCACCCACCTCGGCCTTCCAAAGTGGTGGGATTATAGGCGTGAGCCACCACATCCAGCCCCCAGCCCCTTTTATAATATATGTTGCTGTTCTCTATAGGATTTAACAGTTTGCCATCACTCAGTGAACATTTATTATCTTGTAGGTATTATAGGACATCCAGAGATACGTAACACATGATACCTATCTTAAAGAATTTAAAGTCTAACTAGGAAGTTATATTGACGTGCAAGGTTATATAGCATTTTAAGAGAATGATATGTGAGATATTTTAAAGCCCTGTATGATTGAGAACTACTTGAATTGTACAGTAAGTGCTATGAGTTTGTAAAAGAAAAATCCTTGTGTATGGGACTGTTGGAGATTATTACAAAAGAGGTGGGAACTTGAACAAGACTTTTGGAGGGTGGAATAAAAGTAAGGGCCAAGGGTTAAATTCAGAGTGTTGCCTTATTTGATAAATAAACTTTTATCAGGGCCAGGCGCAGTGGCTCACTCCTGTAATCCTAGCACTTTGGGAGGCCGAGGTGGGTGGATCACCTGAGGTCAGGAGTTCACAACCAGCCTGGCCATCATGGTGAAACCCCATCTTTTAAAAAAAATAAAATAAAAAATTAACTTTTATCAGAACACAGCTACTCCCATTCATTTACATACTGTCCGTGGCTGCTTTCAAGCCACAGCTGCTGAGTTAATAGTTACCATGGAGACCATGTAGCCTGAATAAGTCTAAAATGTTTACTATCTAGCTCTTTATGGAAAGTTTTGCCAGCCCTTGCTGTAGACAATGGGGAACGAATACAGGCTTTTAACAGGTCAATGGTATGGCAAGGTCTCTGTTCTGAAAGATATCTAATTATTTTTATAATCAGGCAATAACAGCCATAATAATAATAAAAAAAAGTTTCTGGTGTTATAGACCAGTAGATTAGAATGGATTGAAGGGAGAAAGTGAAGGCAAAGACTTAAGTTAAGATTGAACTAGTGAAATGATATTGAGAATAGAAGGATACAGACAAAATGAGAATCTTTTTTAATAGGTAAACTCAATCAGATTTGATGCCTGCTTGAGCAAAGAAGAATGAAACATTTAAAGCCACAGAGATCATGTGGAGGTTTCTTACTTCGGCAGCGGGGTGGATAGAAAATACAAGAGGCTGGGAGTGGTGGCTCATACCTGTAATCCCAACACCTTTGGGATGCCAAGGCGGGAAGATGGCTTGAGGCCAGGAGTTCAAGACCAGCATGGACCACAAAGGAAGACCCCATCTCTTAAAAAAAAAAATTAGCCAGGCAAATGGCTCGTGTGTGTAGTCCTAGCTACTGAGGCAGGAGGATAGCCTGAGGCCAGAGTTGAGGTTACAGTGAACTCTGATCACAACTCTGCACTCTAGCCTGGGCAAGAGTAAGACCCTGTCTTTTAAAAAAAGAAAATAAAATAAAAAACAAAGGAAAAGATAATGAATTTAGTTTTGGGCACACTCAACGTAATTCACCTATGGAGCATTCAAGTGAATGTTTTTAGTTGGAAATAGGGATCTGAAGTTCAATTAAAGATTAGGGCGGGAGAGTTAGCATATAGTTAGTCATTGAAGCTTTGGGACTGGATAAGATTTCCCAGGAAGAACATATAGAATCAGAGAGAAGATGGATCCTGTGTAGTGTAAATGTCACTTTAAGAAACATAGGCAGAGGAAGAGGAACTAGCAAAAGAAACACAGAAAGTGGCAAAAATGACAAAATAAAAGATATTTTATTTATTAATTTTTGAGATGGGGTCTCTGTTGCCCAGTCTCAGTGCTGTGGCATGTTTGCAGCTTATTCCAGCCTTGACCTCCCTGACTCAAGTGATCTTCCTACCTCAGTCTTCCGCGTAGCTGGGACTACAGGCATGTACCACCACACCCAGCTAATTTTTTAGTTTTGTTTTTGTAGAGATGGGGTTTCGTTATGTTGCCCAGGTTGGTCTCAAATTCCTGGACTCAAGAGATCCTCCTGCCTCCCGGCCTCACAAAGTCCTGGGATTATAGGCATGAGCCACCACACCTGGCCAAAAGATACTTTAAAAAGATATCAAAAGAGAGGAAGTGCTCTAAGTCAAAGGCAAACTTTTTCTGTAAAGAACGAAATAGTAAATACATTAGTCTTTACAGGCCACTTACAGTCACTAACTCATATTCTTCTTTGTGGTTGTTATAGTTGTTTTTATTTTACAACCTTTTTAAAATGTGAAAACTGATCTTAGCTCATTGTACAAAAACAGGTTGTATACAGACTGTAGTTTGCTAGACCCCTCCTATATGGAGTTAGATGCTAAAAGAGATTAGTGAATTTAAAAATGTAGAGTGACATGTTTAGCACCGTGTGTGTGTCTATGTGTCTATGTATGTGTGTGTGTGTGTGTGTGTGTATAAAACAGACCTGGAGTTGCCTAAGGAGGGGTGAACTGCAGGAGGGGTGAACTGGCCCAGGTCAGAAATGGAGCAGGTCAAAACTCACATGCTGATCAGTAGTGGGATCTCGCCTGTGAACAGCCACTGCACTCCAGCCTGGGCAACATGAGACCCTGTCTCTTCCAAAATATATAAAAAAAAAAAAAAAAAAAAAGAAAGAAAGAAAAGAAAAGAAAAAAAAAAAAAACAGACCTGGACCACTATATTATGTATAATGTAAATAGCATATATATAATGTGTTTATATATGTTCATGTGTATGCAAACATTTAAGGAATGATCTAAGTCTTTTTCTTAAAATTGTATACATACATACAAAATTGTCTACATTTTTTTTTTAGTTAGAGTTTCTCTCCCATCACCCACACTGGAGTGCAGTATGCTCTCAGCTCACTACAACCTCCACCTCCTTGGCTCAAGCAATCCTCCTGCCTCAGCCTCCTGAGTAGCTGAGACTGCAGGCTTGCACCACCATGCCCAGCTAATTTTTGTATTTTTAGTAGCGACAGGGTTTCAGCATGTTGGCCAGGCTGGCCTTGAACACCTGACCTCAGGTGATCCACCCACCTTGGCCTCCCAAAGCACTGGGATTATAGGCATGAGCCACTGTACCCAGCTTTTTTTTTTTAATCTTCTTTTTTTAAACAGGGTCTCACTCTGTCACTCAGGCTAGACTGCAGTGGTGCAACCTCAGCTCACTGTAATCTCCGCCTCCCGGGTT